TACGACCAGCTCCCTTGCTCCTTGGCTGCTCATTTGGCTTTCCCTTCGTCCTCCCGAGGGCAGACGAGAAAGCCCCGACGATGCCGATGAAGCCGTTGCATTTGGTCGAGGTACTTGAGCAAAGTTGGGGTAAAGGTCACTCGCCATCGCATCGAGTTGCTGCGACTTCAACAAGAGCATAAAGAATAAGGTGGGAGCAGCAAGTCGCAGCTCGACGTCTGGCAGATGGGATGGATTTGCAGAGAGCACGCTGTTCTCGTCTGGGACTGGCCTGCGAACTGCTCGTGCTCGCTGCCACCGGCTGCAGGAATGCGGGGTAGTGGATAAGCACGGACTACTATACGCTCCATGTGTAGAGAGACCCATTTTAATCAGCTTATGTAACTGCACACGTGCCTGGTATCGATAAGAGCTTGTGCTTGGTGCTGGTGCTTGGTGCTTGGGTCACTTGATGACCTACCTAGGTACCTTACCTTACTGCTCAGCTTCAAACGGCAAGACCAAGCAGTCAACCTAAGTTCTTTCCAATCCTCGGAAAGACCATGATTGTAAGGTAGCCATACTTTCCTTTACATCACCTACCTAGTTGGTCTTTCTTGCCTCCTATTTCTCTCTGAGAAGGAGACTGGAGAGGAAGCAGAGCATCAAACGTGGGCTCCTTCCCCCAGACAGACAGACGCCTTGGGGTGACGTAGTGTAGCTGGTTTCGCTCCCCTGTGCTCGCCAAACAAGCGCACTTGGCGCCCGGATTCTCGTGTGAGAAGAGCTGTTCCGCAATTGATTTAATTCCAACCTTCAAGACTGGCTGGGCTCGAGTACCTAGCCTCTACTCCGTACGTTATGGCTATGCTGCCCCTATATCTCATGCACCAAGCTATCCACTCAGAATGTCTCATTTCGTCACAGCTTGATAGACCAACGTGATTGGCCTCACACCTCGGCCTCTACCCCTCGACTGACCTTGCCTCACCGAAACGACATCCAAATGCCATGCGCTCTGTTGAATCCGTCCGTTGGGGCCACGCCTACTCCCCTTCAGCCCGCTGTGTCTCACCGAGAGGCACCTTGTTGGAATTGGGAACCATTGAGTTCACTCAAGATTTTGGGCCTGTTGTCTCTTTGACAGACAGAGTACGGCCAACCGCTAGTGCTAACTCTGATAAGGTGCTTCGACCCCAAAGACCTTATTCCCGTATCATGTCCTACAGCTCTCTACTCGAGCTTGAACGGAAAGACATGTGAAGCTGTTGAGCTACCGCAGCCCTGCAGCATCCAATTTGCTCCCCAACGAAGCGGGATCGTCCGCAACGTCGAGCCGCCCTCGGCCCTCAACCGCTGGATGATACGGACGACGCAGCCATGCCAGCGCCTTGGACGGCGGGCCAGCCATCCCTTGCAACCTGCTTAGAACCCCCAAACTCTATCATGTCCATCAACGATAATTCGGCTATGGCTGTCCAACGAGTTTGTATGAAATGTGCCGATGCCGCAGCGGAAAGTCGCGGTTCAAGATATTAGGGAAGATCCCCCTCCGAATAAACACGAATCAGATTTCATTGCTTGAAAGAAAACACCGCAAAGCCTCTCTCTTGGCTTTTATCGGCGTCTTCAACAATTTCGCCGTAAAAGCGAAGACGCGAGTGAGATAGCTTCACTTCCTCACTTGCGTATCCTTGGCCTCTCTAGGGTCTAATTTGGCAACCTGACGCCCGTGCGCCGCTCTGCTGTTATTCCCGAAAGCTCGGTAACCCGCCACGGCACTGGTGGAAAAACCACCTATCCCTTGCTCTCTCTACCAACTCGTAGTTCCTCTCTGCTTGCTTGAGTGCTTGGTACCATCGATTCCACGATCCATCCATTTGCCGGAAATTCGTCCCGAGTGAATCCGAGCTCACTATCCCCGGTCCGGAAACGCCAAACGGCATCTCTCTCAATGAGTCAATCTGTATCTTCCAAAAGGAACAAAAAAAACCATGGTATATGCACTCGGCCTTCTATTCCCTGGAGCGGAATTGTCAGGAACCTCAGGTACCGCCCAGTCTTGCCAACCGAGCAAACATCCTAGCGCTCAGTTCCATGCGCGGCCCCTCCATCCCGCGGGATGACGCTTGTCCGTCCCAAGAAGAAGTGGAATTGAGATGCACGATTCGACTTCACCCACCGGGCGTGGTTCCGATGCTGCTGACCGCTTGCTTGTCTATTCGTACATACATCATACACTACACAATCTGTCTCGGACCCCTGGTTTGACATGATTGAACTGCATATTTGATGAGCCGCACTACGTAGCTATGCACCAATAGCTCAAAACGTCCCAAAAGAGATCTTCCGTATTCCGGCTACTCGACCCTGAGAAGCCGGGATGGCACTTCAGCTCGGTTATCGCTGAGCCTACATTCATGGACTAACAGAGTCGCAGTATCGTCAACCAGCCCCCTTAGCAAATCATCTTCTTGGATACGTGGAATGATACACTGGCGCCCCAGATCAGGCATCACCACCAATAACACCCAAAATGAACTTCGTTCTCTCCCTTATTTGCTTTCCTACCTGGATCAGTCACCATGGTGCTCACAATCTCATAATCTCGTCCAATCGCTTGACCCCACCCCGTCACAACCCGGCCACTCCCGCACCTTTCATATCCTTAAGCCGAAAACCCTCGCTCATCCTCATCATCTCGGCTTGAGACTTTAGGACGCGCCCGTGATCCAGGCCTTTGAGAGATGCGGGCTTTTCCAGACCCGGACTGGGCTCCCCCGGAAAGGAGAGTGGAGGGCCTCAAACGTGAATAGCCCATGGCCTAGCCGGAGCCTTCATCCTTCACGCGGTTCATGAAATCGGCTACGTTGTAATGCCATCGCTTCTTGCGGCTCGTCTCTTGGCTGGGAGGCAGCCCGGGATGGGCCATGTTAGTGTTTAGGCATATTTCCTCCGCCTTCTACGGCAACTTGGCTCGGCAAAGTGTCGATTAGACCGCAAGGCAGCACGCGATGGTTAAGGTCCAATTTGGTACCTTTCTTACATCATAGCTTTTGCTCTGCCTACTTGATTGTACTGCTCTGCTGTGGAACATCTCGAAACCGCTGCATAGGTATGTTCTACATTTCCCCAAGAGCCTGGAGTGCCAAGCACTGCATGACTTACACCATTTCGTCTCCCGATGATTTGACAATAAAATCGTTGTAGTCCTCAATTTCCCTTTTTTTCTTTTTTTTTTTCTTTTAGGGGGGGGGGGGGGGGGAGGCGATATGTATGGATGATGCTGTCTCAGATTTAAGGGAAAATTGAGGATATTAAGCGGTATATACAAAATATGTCGCTTGGGGTTGAAAATCCAGTCGGCAAACTACAGTTTGGCCCTGTCATCGCATCACGTCTGATGGAAGGGGAAGCCATCTTGTATACTCACATTAGGCATCCAATGTATGTATAGTCCGCGCCATATCTTTCATAGAACCGCACAGCTGCTCTAGAAACCTCAAATGATCACAGACGGCCCTCAGGTGACGGGGCCCTGGAAGAAACGAGTGGCCGAGCGAGATATCGTCTGTGACTGTAGCTTGTGGGCTACAAGACTGCAAGCTGACGAGCAGCACACCGTAGCAACCATTCTCGCCTCGGACTCACTCGTTTCCACATCACAATGAGTACTTACTTAATCTTACCATGCCAGTGTGCCTATATGCGTCATGGGCTTCACCGTCACCCGCCTTCGGCTCTGACAGCGCGTGCAACCAAATTCACCACATCATTCTACGACAAGATCAAAGGCCTTGATAACGCCCACGATGCCATCCGACAAGAGCGGCTTGCAGGTTGGTGAGAAAAGACATCTCTGGTCGATAAAAAGCTGCTTCCCATCTTCATTGCGACAGAGGGTATTCATACTACTTCATGATCACAACTCATGCTTGAGGCCTGCCGCCATGTTCCAAGACGCAGCGAGGATAGGTAGATTCGGTGTTATTGTCAAAAGGCTCAGCCACGGACTGTAGCAAACTGCATTTTCAAGCATCAAGTTGGCACCTATACGTCTGGCTGTATCATGTCTCGAGGTAGGTTGGGTGAAACAGTGCAAAAGAGGCAGGCAGAGGAGAGGCAATGGCAGCCAGCAAAATAGTCATGTCAGCACTCAGCGGAAGATCTGCCACGTCCCTTGGTTTGTCTACGTCGAGATACCGGTTGAATGCCTTGGACGGATGGTGACGAAGAGAAATTCTTCCCTATGGACATGTCGATTACATTAGACAATGAAAACAAGACAAGATGAAAGGAGTGTGCTTACATTACGCAATTGACTCTTGCTACAAAAGTTGCGAGGTTTACTCAAAGTTAGTTGAAGTTACAGCAGACAGAACCGAATGGCTTGCCATGCTGTTCTACCTTTTTTTTGACGAGTACGATGACATCTGTTGAAGGTTGTTGAGAGTTAGTCAAAGCCCACAGGAACAGAGAAAGACCAAAGGATTGCTTACCATGACAACCAAGTTTACTATAGCCAGTCCAGCAGATCGTGTCGAAATGAAGGAAAATTAGTCTACGCAAGAGGTAATAGAGAAAGAAGAAAAGCCTACCATTATATCGAGTTCAATCGTTGGATCTAAGTAGGCATACTCAGAGTTAGCGGGCTGAGATAGTTTAGGGGTGGAGGGGGGAGACTTACAGATATCGCTGACATGTTCTATGTAGCAAGCATATTGAGATATATAGTAAATAGATAGATAAATAGATGAGACAGAAGTTAGATCACGAGAGCGGGAGTACAATGACCCTCCCGAACGAGGGACCTATCGAAGTTAGCTGGCCAAAAGGGGGGGCGAACGAGAGTGGGGGAGTGAGCAAAACAGAAAACAAAACAAGATCCCTCAACGGCTCCTAGAGCCAAAAGGGAAGAAGCAAACACAACAAAACAAACCAATACCAGATCCGAGACCAGTGACCAAGACCAGTGACCAAGACCAGTAACCAAGAAGAAGGAGCCAACAAGAACCTAGGGCCTAAGGCCTAACCCGAGGAACGCGGCGGGTGATCTTGAGGGTGACCGCCTTCATGCCCTTGGGCTGGGTCGTGATCGTGGACGTGACCAGGTCAAACTCAGGCTCGGGCGCAGGAACGGGCACAGGAACAGGCGCAGGCACAGGCGAACGAGGACCATAAAGCTCCAGCAAGGAAGAGATTGATCCAGATTCCTCGGCAGAACCAGAAGAACCAGGGGACCCAAGAAAGCTGGAAGTACCGAAAGATTCGGTAGATCCGGGAGACGCAAAGTACCCAGAGGAGCCACCAGACCCAGAGGAGCCAGTGGAACCAGAGATATCATGAGAGCCGGAAGAACTAGATGATCCAGATGATCCACGGGAACCAGAGGAGCCAGCGGTGCCAGACGAGCCAACGGAACCAGACGAGCCAACTGAACCAGACGAGCCAACGGAACCAGAAGAGGAAGCGACAGGGGATGCAGAATACACAGGCGAGGCGGCCGGCGAATCCCACTCTGCCAGAGCTCCAGGGAGCTCAGGAGAGGCGACAGGGAAGGCGCCCTTGGTCCAGGAGTATTCCGAAACCCGATCCTCTTCCAAGGTCGAGTCCCAGTTGGAGATGGTGTGCGGCGTAGGCGAGTCCGTGCTGTAGTCGTAAGAGGGCGCGTACCGCCTCTGGGGCGCAGGCCAATCCGCCAGGAGAGACCGGATCTGCGCAAACTTCGCCTTGGCCTCTGCGCCGAGCTCGCGGGCCCGGAGCCTTTGCCGTTCAACGCTGCGGTCGAGGGTATCCATCTCACGAGGAGGAGGAGTACGAGGCGGAGGCGTACAGGGCGGGTCAACCGGATCACGGAACAGCGAGCCAGACTCCTCAACGGGGGCAATCACCGAAGGCGAGGAAGTCATAGGAGAGGCCGTCCAGGGCTCTGGTGTCCTAGGCTCTGGAGTTCTTGGTTCCGGGGTCCTGGGAGCAGGAACAGCGACGGGGGCAGGTCGATGCTTAGCGGTGTAAGCGCGGGCCAGGTTGATTTGCCGGTCGGCAAAGGCCATCAACTGTTCAAAGTCAGGAGGAGGTCGAATGGGCGAAACCATAGGAGGGATGGGCGAAGCCAGAGCAGGGTCAGCGGTGTCGTCCACAAACGGATCCTCCAGGTTAGAAACGGAAACCGAACCAGAACCTGGAGAACCAGAAGAAGCAGAGCGAACCGAAGACGAAGGACTGACCCGGGGAACAGACTCAAAGTAATGGGACATACTGAGAGTGAAGCCACGCGGGGACAAACGGGGAGGAGTGCGAACAGGGCCAACAGGCGCCGTAACCACAGATCCAACCGAAGGCGAGGAAGACCTGACCAAAGACGGGGAACCTTCCAAAGGCAGAGAACCAACCCGGGACTCAGGGCCTAAGTAGTGGGACATACTCAGGGTGAAGCCATGCGGGGACCGACCGGGAGGAGTGCAAACAGGTCCAACAGGAGCCGTAAACGCAGAACCAACCGAAGGCGAAGGAGACCTGACCAAAGGAGAGCCAACCGAAGAAGGACTAATCCGGGATTCCGGCCCCAAGTAATGAGACATACTCAGGGTCCATCCATGTGGAGGCCCACGGGGAGGAGGAGTGGTTACGTGCACAACAGGCTCCGTAAACAGAGAACAGAAGCCCCCAGAAGAGGACTTACCAAGAGAGGACGACACCGTGATCGAGGGCCGAGTAGCTTCAGTCTGGGGTTGACGAGGAGACGAGCTACGGGCAAGCATCACGGGGGGTGCCGGGGTACCGATGTACCGGCTAGAGAAGACCGATTAGCCATCAAGAAGACAAAAGACCCAGCGAGGCTGAAGATGTGAATAGTTACAGGATCGGGCGGACAGCGCTTGTGACGGCGGCTGCGAGAAGGCGAGGGACGCGGCGGAGGAGGGAACCGAGCGAGGCCACGAGGGTGCTGGCGTTAACGGGGGCAGGGACTTGAACCCTGGACTGCGGACCGGTCTCAGACGGGCGGGCGGCAGCCGAAGCAGGCGAGAAGCAGAGAGAAGACATCGTAGCGTAGCTAGAGCATCAAACGATCAAACCGTGAAGAGGAAAGGAAGAAGGAGGATTGGGGGCGGTTCGAGGAGGGGAGGTAGAAGTAGACGGACGGTGCACCCAGATCAGTAACACCTGGTTGGCCCAAATGGCTCACCCCCTGAGGGGGTGGTTGCAGAATGGACCCGTAGGGCTGAAAGCTAGGCCTAATAGGGTGTAGCGCCTGTACTCGGATACCCGCTAGGCCTAATTGGGATGGCGCGTCTGGACTGACAGATGGGAGGAAATCCGTATGATAGATGGGATGACGGAGGCGCAATCTAATATGAAGAGATTAAAACCGTATCATTGTGTTTATTACGTCTATTTGATCCCATGTGCAAGTTTTCCCGATGAAAAAGGTGTATTGTGGCGAGATATACCGCGTCGAGGGTGAAATTGACGGTTGTAAGTCGAGGGGACGTCGAGGGCCGGCTGAGAATCGTCGATTTCTGGCTTCTGGCATCGAATGATCGCCGCGCAGATGAGACGTCGTCGTAAAATTAGTTTCAAAAGATGGAGCAGGTCGATTGGAACAATTTGATGGCTGGATATGCTCGCGCATTGCCGTGCGGTTGAGGTAGCCGAAGGAATAGGTCGGATTCGGCCACGGGATGCCATCCTTCGTCGGGAGAAATCATCGCGGCATATCGCAGCGTGCATCGAGGTGCATACAAAATTTGTTCCAAAGTACTCTCAAGACTACCAGCTTCCTTTCGATGTAGTTTGGGCTCATTCCCTTGCGCCGCGGCATCGTGGTTGCTCATCGTAGCGGCGACGCTTTCCCCGGCATTAGGATCGAGCCTGCCGCCTACCTCCTCCAGGAACAGTGCGTAGCTCCTATGGTCTCAAGCTCTGTGAGATTGGTCCTCGAGTCTCTGTCAAGGAAGAGCCGTCACCTGGAATCAGCGAACCATAGGTTGCGGCACAAGATTGACGAGCATCGGCAGAACCACCGCTAGACAGCAACAAGGACCACAATCAAAGGGACAATCATCAGTAAGAAGATTTGCTTTTCTATTGATACTGCTGTCTAACGACTTTGGAAGAAGCGTCTTCTGGACAAGCTCTGCCACCGATGAGCCCTCAGCGTTGTTTCGAACCCCTCACCGAAGAGGCGAACCCTTCCCTGGTGTCCAAGTTGAGCCCGCTCCGAAGCCGCCACTTGATGTTCCACCTCCCGGGGCCCCCGGCGTAGAGGGAGCATCGTTAGGTAAAGGAGGAGGCGTATCTGTTCTTTGGACATCAGCGGCCTGTCCGCTCCTAGCAGGCGGCCGGAAGTTGACGTCTCGCCCGCCCCGGTAGATATCTTGAAGCATCGGTTCCAGGATACCTGCATCCTCGAACTCCAAATACTTGCGATATAGCTTCAACGCCGTCCGAGCATCCTCGATCGAGTCGTGAGTCTCCAGCTGGATGTCTTCCTTCAACAAGTACCATGCCAAGAATGCGAGCGAGAGCTTTCGTAGGCGAGACTTCAGGAAGAACAGATCGATCGTGTCGATGACCTGGGACTTTGGTATGTGAATGTTGATTACTCTGAAATCCTGTTTGAGGCCGTGACCGAGGAACTTGCAGCCCAGGTTTAGCAGAATCCAAAGCTTCTTGTAGGCTACCTTCAGCGGCACGAGATTGTGCTTGGAAATGCGGGGGTCCAGATCATCGTGAGTTATACCCGAGTACGACGTCAGATAGTCAACAATGGGCTCTCTAATCGAGATATAGTCGTCGATGAACGGCAGACCTTCGTCCTCTCCTTGCCCCCGGACAACGGAAGCTCTAGCCAAGGCGTACACGATCGGCCGAATTGTCTCTCTTTCGCCATCGGAGTTCATCTCGATTTCAGGCTGACGGACGGCGACGAACTCCGTGTCTAAAGCGACGATGCTCTCTGGTCCGGGTCTTTCACTCGCCGAATTGAGCGCTCGGTACGTCTTTCCGTCGTTATGAGGGCTTGGTGGGTCAGCAGGCTAACTATGACGGCACATTTGGGAAGGGAACCAACTTGTTATCCTCATAAAGGAGAGAGGTATCAATATTCTTCTTCCAATCCATATCGATCTTGTTATTTGCTTCCTTGATTTGGAAAGCAATCACCGATGGTGTCTTCCACGGCGGGTGGAACGAAAGGGCTTCCTCAGTGCTCACAGACCGAACTAGAAAGTCGTTGAACAAATGCCAGTGACTTGTAGCCGGGGCGGTTGGCTGTGAATGGGCAACTTCGACTTGTCAGCATCGCCACTCCACAAGCAACGAGGACAACGTACCGTTGGCCATTGCGACCAGGTGAGGTTTTTGACCCGGGCCTGGGTCAATATTCATGGCCATACCTACCAGCGAATACACCGTTATGTTGTGGATACCGCGCTGTAGGTGGAGTTTTAGATCCTCTCCCTCATAACAGAAGAACTGGCCGTGGTCTACTATGACGCCAATTTCTTCCGGAAGGAATCCGGGCGTCGACCAATAACGCCGTTGCTCCGAGTTTCCGATTGCTGTGTTCAGCATGAAGACGGCGGGGATATTGTGGATGGTCTTGCGAGTTGCAATAGTCTGGTATCGCTGGCACCGACCACACCAACCCTTTGACGTTGTTTCTCTCTCGACACTTGACTTCAGGATTTGTGAAAACGTCACTTTCGGCGCTTTCTGACCCCGACTGACGTTCTTCTGTGAGCAATTAGCGCCTGAACAGGAAGGGAACATCTCAGCCAAGAATCAGGAGGCGAAGCATTTGGCGCCGCTGACCACAGGCGAGCTACGACATCCGACGACGAAAACCAACACACTTGAGAACACAGACGAGGATCACAGTAGCTGGGACTTACCCCTGTCCCCGTTGTTTGTGGGTACATCAGATCGTTGACAAAATTCGATCCAGGACGAGTATATTCGAACCTGCAGTTGATACACCTAATTGAACTCGTTGCGGAAGTCGTGAGCATCTAGACACGGTCAGCTACAGCAATATTCTCCAGCCTGCATTTGACGAACCTGCTCCATCATGTTCGAACCAGGGGGCATGGAACGATAATCTAGGACAATCTTCTCCAAAAGGAACCTCGTCAGTCCCTGCAGCATAACCGTTAAGGTAGAGCCATTTGATTCTTCTTCAAGGAGGCCGAGGCCGGCGGCTACGAAACAGTCAATATTCGCCGCAGAAACAGGAAATTAAATCACAGACATTGGGGGTGGTGGCTGAGTGTCTTCAGCATATTGGTTGCTTGACAGATTGAACCTTCGGCCTTTTGGAGCATGTCGAACAAGAACCCCAGTTCGCACAACAGACAAGTATCGGTAACACACGCAGTGGCCGCGTGTTGGAGAGCCATATTTCGGATGAGAGGCGTAAAGTTCATGACTTGCAGTAAAGAGTTGGCGTATGAGTTTGCGATATGGATCTCGAGTCCAGAGTACTGCGTTCTGTTGTAGAATCTGGACAAGGTTAGCAAGCAACCCCATTTCAGTGCGATAAGCTGACGTACCCAAAGTCAAAGTCGTCAACACCAAACTTGCTGTACTTGATCTCAACATTGCGGTACATCGGATGACACTCTTGTTTAGTAGGATCGATTTCCATTTGCATCAGAGAGTGGGCAACGTCGTCAACCTTTTCGTCACCGCTTGCATTGCCGACTGTAGCCATGGCAAACTCTCTTGCTTTCTCGCTGAGGAACTTTGGCGCAAGAATTCCCGAAGCGTTTCCTCTGTCCAAGTTCCGAGTATCCTCAACTTGATTCCTTCGAAGGCCGCGTGTATTCCGTCCGTATTGGCCAAATTCGGACTGTTTGAGGCCCGCAACAAACTGTGGCTCCAGTTTGGTCGGAGGAGCCCCAACATCAGAAAGAAGATCTGGCCAGGCGGAGAGCAGCGCCTCCCGATAATGCGGCATGCCAACAGAGTTGAGAGGTCTGGTACTAGGTCAGTGATCATGGCACATGTCGATGTCATGCGATCAGGACAGAGGCGTTACTAACGTATCGGCAGTCCACTCTATCGTAGGTAGAGGCTCTTCCGGAGTTGCGAATTCGGTCTGAGACGCGAAATCGACGAAGCGGAGTTTCGAAGGAGAACCCCATATGTGTATATTGTGATCCGCATCTACCAGAGCCACGGCTTCGCCAGATGGTGCGATTTCGAACATGGTCAGGTAGTTCATCGTGTTGGTTTGCCGCACATTGCTAGTGTTCGGATTCATCAGGTCAACAACGTGCATCTGTCCACTCGTGGACATGACAATACTAGTCGTCGACATTCTTGGGTGCATTCTGACAAAGGCAGCCCCAGCAGGAAACGGAATCGGGGACATGGACGACATTTTCTTGATATCAAACACATTCAAGAACGGGTCAAGCATGTAATCTCGTCCCTGCCGTAGTGAGTAACCGCAAGTGACGATGAAGTCATGCTGAGCATCCATATCGCTGATCAAGGCGGAGTGGGCGTTCCAGCTCTTAACGACGGAGAAGTTGGCCGCGTCGATCAGGTTGACTGTGCCTGTCTCTGTGGCGGCGCAGATGTATCTGCTTTTCTTCATAACCTTATATGAGTACGTAGTCGGAACCTAGGTTAATCAGCAAGGCGTCCACATCATAACACCGCCATCGAACGGACCTGCTTGACCACCTCTCCCTTAGCGAGGTCGATCACAAACATGGTGTCCTGGAACCCGGCAACCAGAATTTCAGACGTCCCTTTGGACGTAAAACTCATGCATCGTAAGTCTTTCATATCATCGTGTCTGCGTTTATGCTGTCAGGCAGAATTCCAACGAGTCGGATCTAGGCTCCCGCACCTTATATGCCATATCGGAGGGCCTTTCCGCGAAGCCATGTGGATATCTCGAGATCCTAGTACCACGACGCCCTTGTCATTCACGAGTATTTGTCTAACCGGGCCGTCGGATGAGGTATGGGCCTTGAAGGACGTATAGCGCTGAAGCTCGCTGCGGTAGAACGACGTGACGCGACCCTAGAATATTATCAGTCTTTGGCCTTGGTTGAAATCGATTCAATGGCTCGTACATAGTCGTTCCCGGTCCACAACAGCTCTTGAGCCGTGTCAAAGGTCATGGTCGACACGGGCGTCGCCGCAGCGTGGATGCCCGGAGGCGGAAAGGGGATGCGAGCGACCTATCAGCCATGAAATCGGTTAGTTCAAAAGTATGGCTACCGTAGGAGACGCGCGACATTCGCAAGCTAAGCTAGGGACAGGACGAGGGAAAGTGCAAAGCTTGCGACGATGGTGCGTCGCAACGGGCAATGAGGGGTGACGATGAGCTTCAACGTACCTCGTCCCAGTCTCCGTCCATTTTGGTCTGCGTTTCCTTGCCCAAATGACCATAGTAATGGGAACAGATAGAACGACGTCAAAGAATGGGCGACAGACAGGTCGCAGTCGAATGGTCCAGAACAACAAATATTTCGCACAAAAAAAAAAAGAGCAGAGCACCTCACTGGACTCGAATCGCGACGAGGCCGGAGCTTCGCGCAGCTTGAGCCTTGGAGCAAGCGGGCAGAGACAAGGTGTCGCGCGCCCGAAAGCTAAGCCACTTGCATGAGCCGGACAGGGCAGGGAAGAGAATGTGGGGGAGGGATGCTGAGCTTCTTTTCCGACTTCTCTGCGCTTTCTCTTCCCCTCCTCCTCTCCTTAGCTTCTGGGCTGCTCTTGAGTGTGACGACGCTAGCCGGCGTATTTCCGGAACTGGGTCCAGGTGAGACAAGCCCCACTCATCCTCTCACCGACAATCACCGAGCTGCGGCGTGCGTGGGTCCTTGTTGTCAGCGTTGAGGTTGGTAACGTATTTCATACTACTAGGTAGTGGTCTACTTTTCTATGGCTTATGCACCTTCTCGACTCTATTAATTACACACGATAGCGGCTCAAAATCACGCCCTGGCAGTAAGATTAAGTTGAAACTTGTAGCAGCGCTCTAATGGCAGCACCGACAATCACTTATCGTCTCTCAGCGGGTCTCGGAAGGCCCATGGCCGGCGTGTGGATACAGAAAGTCTAAGCATGCCATGTGGTAGGGAAGTTTCCAAGTCTACCTCCGTCCACCGTTATCACCGCGCCGTTACAATACGCACCAGCTCTCGAGGCAAGGTACAACATGACGCCTGCCATGTCTTGCGAATCGCCCATTCTTTGAAGAGGCACCATTTCTTTGGGGACACTACCATCCTCGGCGTAAAGCTTGGCAATGGGAGCCGACATTTCGCTCGGAAACACTAGTTTGGGGTCAGTATGGATCTGAATGGTACTTTTGCAAGAAGACTCACGGCCAGGAGCAATACAGTTGGCTCTGATGTTCCAACGGGGCAGGTTACTTGACAATTGCTTGATAACCAATGTCGCAGCTGCCTTGGACTGGCCGTACGCCCAGCCACCGGGAGCGATCTTGTTGAAAGCGGCAATGGAACTCGTCGAGACGACCTGGGAGCTTTGTGATAGGTTTCCCTTCTTGTTACCAAGGTCAAGCAGCTTCACAAAAGCCATGGCGGTGTACCACACAGAGGTGACGTTGATATCAAAGACTCGTGTGTAGTCAGCGGTGTCATGGGCAAGGTGCTGCTCGGCCCATTCTTCAGCCGTCATCTCGGGAGTCGGGGCCTTGACCTGGGGTCCTCCGACACCAGCATTGCAGGCAAGAAGGTTGACAAAGCCGGCTTCCTTCTCAATGGCGGCGGTTGCTTCCTTGAGGCTGTTCTTGTCACTAACATCGCAGACCAGAGGGATGAGTCTGGGTCCCACAGATGCCGCGGCTTCTTCCAGGACCTCTTTGCGCCGACCGAGGATGTAGACTTTTTCGGCACCATTGGCTGCCAAGGCCTTCGCCATCATGAGACCGATTCCTGGAATTATTAGCGATTTCACGTTAGCTATGAAGCTATCGCCCAAGTGACTCACCTGAGCCACCACCAGTGATGACAGCAACCATGCCTTTGACACCAAAGAGGTTGCCAGCTCCCAAGGCGGCGAGGTCTTCCTTGTTATCAGCCATTTCACAATTACAAAGTGCAGAGGTTTTAGGTATAGTTCAAGCTTTGAAAAATTTCGCGGGAATAGCGACTTATACGATCTGCCGGACAGGACTCATTTGTAATGTCACAGGTCCACGGGCTATCTGCAACGGCGGGGTGCTTCGAGTGCCCCTCCAAGAGCCCAAGGAACGTCATCCATGGGTGCTAGAGGAGCAGCTGTGGCCAATGAAACTCGTCAAAGATGGCAGCTATCATTTATGACCAATCGCATTGTACAGAACGCGGCCCCGTAGTGGGTCCTTCTTCCGGCGAGCGTTCCGTCTTATCGATTAGATCTTCACTGCTGAACCACCATTTTTTTTCTGTCAGTGATCCAGCTTCGAGGTTTGACAATTGCCCGCGCATAACAATCCTACACTCGCGATAGGGAACACGCCCGATTTGAACTCGAACAAATAGACAATATGGTCAAACGAAAGAGGTCGCGCGAGGACGATCTCGAGGCGAAGCTCGCCGACTTCAAGAAGGAGATTTTCCGAGCTATCAAAGGCGCAAAGGGACTCGAGCGTCAACGGTACAGCAAACGCTTGCGCGATGACAAGGCGTCGCCCGACAAGGTCAAGCGGTTGGAGAGGGAGATCTTGGTGTTAAAGGTGAGAGTTGACTCCCCCCCTTCAAAAGTTTGCGCCGCTGATTATTGCTTCCCCCATTACAGTCCCTCGACCTCCAGCAAACCGCCGACGCACACCTCCACTCCTCGCTACTCAAGATCAAGCAGATCGCCGAAAGCCCTGCGCTACCCGAAGAGATTAAGCAGGGCGTGCCCAAGCCGGATTTGTCCGAGGAGGAGAAGGCGGCGCTGCACAACGTCACGAGCGGCTTGTTCAACCGCCCGCACGTCCGGGAGGCCGTCGACAAGGCGGTGCGGGGCGTGTGTCTTATCCTGAACGTGCCTATACCAGACAAGAAGAGCAAGAAAGGGAAGAAGGATTCTGCCGCGGCTGCTGAGAGCAAGAAGCAAGAAAAGAAGGACGACGACGACGACGAACCTAGGGAATCGAAAAAAGCGAAGCTGGTGGACGCAAAGGATGTATCTGCGAAACCCAAGGCCGAGTCCAAATCCAAGGCGGCAGAGGTAGATGCAGAGGCAGAGGAGGAGGAACCGAACCCATTTGACGAGATGGACGACGAGATCCCGACGGACAGCGATGCGTCAGACGGCGGAAAGAAGGCAGACGCTGCCGATGGGGAGGAGGAGGTCGACTCAGACGAGGAAGAAGAGGAAAAGGCCCTGTCTAAGATGGAAGCCATGCTCGGCGGCTCCGACTCGGAAGAAGAGAGCCCCGATGAGGATCTCAAGGCCAGGTACAAGGCTTTACTGGGTGAAGTCGCCGATGAAGGGGACACCGCCGACGACGAGAGTAACAGCGACGACGAGGACGAGGACGAAGACGAAGACGAAGAGATGGCGGACCTGGACGATGAAGCAGAGGACAGCGGCAACGACTCGGACCGCCAACGCCGCATCAACGCCGCCAACGTCTCCCTTTCCCCGGAACCGGAACCCAGCAGCAGCAAAGAGAAGAAAATCAAGCGCGCCAAGAAGCCCACAGGCCGGCCCGGCGAGACGACCTTTTTACCCTCGCTCATGGGCGGGTACATTTCAAACTCCGAGTCCGAGGCCTCGGACCTCGACCTCGCGCCGCCCAAGAAGCGGCTCGGCCAGAAGCAGCGCCAGGCCATCTGGGAGAAGAAGTACGGCGCGTCGGCGAACCACGTCAAGAAGCAGGCCAACGGGCAGAGAGGGGCGGGCGGCGCGAGGGATAGCGGGTGGGATATGAGGAAGGGTGCCGTGGGTGCCGACGAGGACGGCGGGGCCAGGAAGCCTTGGAAGAAGGGCGTTTCGAACCCGTTGGGCGGCGGCGGCGGCAAGGGTAGGGATCGCGGCGGCAGAGGGGAGGAGAAAAAGAAGGCCAGGGTGCCGCCCAAGAAGGACGACGAGGGGATTTTGCATCCTAGTTGGGAGGCGAGGAAGAAGGCCAAGGAGGCGCAGACTACGGCTGCGTTCACGGGTACAAAGATCACTTTCTAGGTCACGATGTAAAGCGAGATACCAGTGGAAATTTTAAGTCAAATGTGAAAAGATCATTCGCTGTCTGCCTATCTGGCTAGTTACTGGCATGCAAGTGAGAAAGCCATCTCCTGTGCCCCTTGATTCAACTAAAAGCAAAACGCATATCAGCTTCCAGATTCGCCGGGCTCAGCACGGCAAGTGCTCCAAATCGCTTGAAATCCGTAAGAACGCCGCAAAATATTGATCAACCGCAAAACCCGCAAGAAATCAATCAGTCAGATTCAGGACCCATGCTGCTGAGTTAATGCTTTCGTCTTTTGTTGAAAGGACAGTCGTCTACGCTTTCAACGCTTTGAAGACGGTCAAGCCTAGGGTGGGCAGTTTCCTGCTGTAGGACAGGGGGGATGTATCCATAAATCCCTCCATTACCGTTACGGCGCGAGGAGGTGGCCATGGAAGAGCTTGGGAAACCAGTGCTGTAGGAGTTGGCATCGTCATCCTCTGCCGTCAGATCGATGGCGTTTCGAATATCCGACTCGCCAAATCCTCTCTTGCGCAAGGTATCCGTTAGGACGGTAGATTCGCGATGTGGTCGATGGAATGACATTGACGGCGACGAGCCGCCGACGAAGAGGCCGTTTCCACTGCCGTGGGATCTCTCGCTCCCGGCCGAAGACCCTTGGCCAATTGACATTGTGTCGGATTGCTCGCGCTTGACGCGGTTGAAGTTGTCGTCTTGTTGAAGGCGGAATAGGCGTGAATTCATCTTCGGTGGCTCTATGCTGTCCAAGTCGATCGGGTTGCTAGCATTGGATCCAGCGAGAGATATTTCGTCGTCATAATCGTTCGCGACGCTGTCTTCCGTAAGCGTGGAAATGTTCAACTCAGTACCCGCTCGAGTGTGGCGGATTGGTGCTTTCGGGGTTGCTTCGCTAGAAGCTTCAGATTCGATTCCGTCTAGGTCCCTATCGGGCGTTGTGTTCCTAGCTCGGGAGACCTTCTTTCCCTTCCCAGGACGCGGGCCCTTCGATTGATCGATAAAACTTGACTGTCCCGATTCATCCCTCGAAGCTGGTTCTCCTGTTCCTTTTTTGGCTCGTGATCCCCCTCGAGATGTCGCCATGGCACGCTGCTGGACCTGGTCCTGGCTTTCAGCGTCTGCCATCTCGATATCGCCGTCTTCGTCCCTTTCCACAACTGGCGGCGACACATACACTGCGTCAAAGGCTTGACTATTGTGATAGAGCCCTTTGATTGCCTCAAAGTCTTCTTGAGCAGCCTCGTATCCTGGAAGAACCGGAGCCAAATTGGCCAACTTTGCGGCTTCTGCCTTGTCGTCGGTCTTTGGCATGGCCGTCACATTCTCGATATCCATGAAGAAAGACCAATCGCGAATTGGATGACGGCCACCTTCCTGGCGGGATATGTTGTAGTCGTAAAAGTGGATGAGCTCCATCCCACGAAGTGCGTGAAGGAAATGTAGTCCCTGGAGACTTCGCAGGGATCGCGTCATACGGAAGTTGGGCTGACCAGCCGTGACAGACGCCATCCAATTGGCATAGGCCTTGGGCTCATGACGGCGACTCGTGTACTGCGGGCCACTCTCATCGATATGGATAATGAGAGTTCTCAAACGAGGCAGCTGACAGAGCCAAGAAACGTCCCATGTCCTTTTGGAAACATATTTGAGTCCACCCTTTTTGCCTTCTTTGATAGGCCTGTGAGTGAGATACTGGCTGCCAACCCAGAGCAGTTCGATATGCTGGATCCTTTCTCTTCTTGCTTCTCCGATGCCGGTACAGAAGCGACCAAATTCTCCAAGGCTCGAGAAGGCGAAGGTGTTCAGACCGTAGAAAGCATGGATCCCAAGGTAGTACCAACGCTTGCAGACTGTTAGCAAGGCGAGGCGAGTGTTCGGTTTCATGCTGTAGGTGATATTGCAAGACGTTCCGGAAAGGTGGAAGCGATGAGGGAGACCACTTCGTTTCGAATCTGTCTGCGTGGGTTGCTCTGGAGGCATGAATCTATCGAGACGAGTGATGCAGTGAATAAGCTTGCTTTCTTCAACGAAGACGAATTTGATGATGTTGGCCTGTACTTTGGCAGGCAGCTGATCAAAAGGGAAATCTTTCAGATAGGGATCCGCCTGTGGCTGCTGACCCTCTGAGCCTTGGACCTCCTGGGGGTGCTCATCGTCCTGCACGAAGAGTCCCTCAGGACCGTTAAGGCTCTCTTCAGACCCACTGTCCTGACTGGCCGAATTAGTACCGAGGCCCTCGAGCGCATCAGCTTGGAGTTCGTTGTTAGTTGGGCCCCTGAGTCGCAAGTTAGGATGAACATTGCCAGTTTTCGTGCTCATATTCTCCTCCTTGCAGCACAGCTTATAGATGTCAGTATAAGTCAATGCGTGTCTTTGAGCGGGATTGGTTAGATACAGATCCAGCTTCTTGTGCCACGTCGGCTCGTATCTGTTTTGGCTGTTCCGTTTCTTCTCCAGCCTAGCAATATCCGCTCTCAAATTGTGGTTGTCTAGACTGAGCTCATGGATTTTGCACTCAAGTCTTTTGATCTGGTCGTCGTAGATGCCGATACCCTGCTGAAACTCCGATCGGCAAGCGTCGCTGCAGCCAAGACGACTGAGATCAACGGGCAGCGGCAAAGACAGCTCCTCATCATTGTCGCCAAGAGGGTCAAGCTCATCGTCGAGCTCTTCGGCTTCTTCATCGCCGATGTCCTCGGTGTTCTCGTCCTCAACTTGTACGATATCCACTCGCTGATCAGACTCTATGGTCTCTTCCCGATCAAGCTCCACTTCATCTTCGGAAGTCACTTCGTCGTCCTCGGACTCGACTTCGTCGTCATTTGGGTTATAGTGATGCAGTGGCTCATGGGCCTCGTTGGAATCCAAGACAACAAGTCCGTTTTGATCTAGCTCTTCTTCCTGGCTCAGTACTCGCAGGATATAGGAACTGGTGCCTGTGTGAGCTGAAGGGCTGCTGTGTCTTTCGGTGACAGCGGCTTGAGAAGGGGATCCCGACAGAGATGACACATGCAGACCCTGAAGAGACGATTCGACTTCGGAGATCCTTGGAGAAGAACTGTCGACATTGAAATTGTCGGAGGCGGCAGCGGTGATTGCTAGTGGTTGAATGATGACCGGGGTTTGGCTGAGAGATGCGCCTGAAGCCAAAGGAGGTGAAGAAGCAGGAGGAGAAGGTGTGGGAAGGCATCCAGGTGTTGCAGTTGTCCGGACTGTCGAGATGGCTCGTGATATGGATAGCGGGTGATCTTCCATCGTGACTGTCAGCGATCTGTCGAAAGTGAGATATTCTCAAGTTGAGGTTGCCGTTGAATGGTAATCAAGTATGCGTGTCGAGCGGCAAACCCATGGGGCAAGTGCGAGCTGAACTCAATTATGCGGAGGGCAATAGATACTGTGAGATGTGAGAAGTAGAACTGTGAAGGTTGTGATAAGTGAGAAGCAAAGCCGCCAAGGCGTGGAGAGCAGTTGAAGTAGTCCTGTCCTCATCAGGAAAGGCAAGAGCGATGTGCCTGATCACGGAAGGTGGCAGAGTCTGCGGAAAGCAGGTATTGAAAGTAAGAGGCGATATACCAAATTCGAGCCAGACAGACTGTTGAAGATGTGTTGCTGAGAAGATGCGTCTGGGCAGATAATTCCAAAGTCGTGTGGTTGTATAGGTAGGGAAGAGGCGAGCTCTTGCGTACGCGGTAGCCACGGTGTATAAATAGCAGTCACGCGGAGAAGGAAGGAAGCCTCTCAGGTCGTAGCTTCTTGAATCGGAAGAGGAAAGTGCGGGTTGGTAGGATATATTCTGGAAATGAACTATATATCCGGTCAGAACGTGGAGATAAAGGGGTGAAGTCAAGGTCAAATCCGGTCTTCAATAACGCAGAGCACACGGCAGGCCATAGCAATGCTGTCAAGGTATCTGATTAAACAAAGTTAGATGTCACTATGGCGAGCAACATATCTTGCCGCTGGTAAGAGCCATGGAAAGAAAATGTGAAGCCCAAAAGATTTGAAAATGATTGCATTGCTGAGCGCCAGAATCCAAAAAGCCCCGGTATTGGTATCTGCCTGTACAAGATGTACAATCCTCCGGTTGTCTCTCTCTTTCTCTAAAAATTTTAATCTTTCCCATTCTAGGTGCGGACTCAGGCGTTGGTCTTGAGGGTGCGGAAGAAGTCCATGACGCCGGTGAAGACGACGAGAAGGATACCGCCTCCGGGACCGAGACGGAGTACCTTGGGCAGGAAACCCTTGTACAGCGCGCTGAAACCCTCCTCCTTGGCGACCGTGGCAACGGCGGGCCAAGCCCAGTTGTACTTGGGGGTCTGTCCGGGGACCTTGGGGCTGTTCTGAATGCGGGACTTGACGACGTCCATGGGGGTGTTGAGGATGGTACCGACGGTACCACCGATGGCACCGGAGATCAGGTCGTTGGTGACCTGGCCGGCCTTGTTCTCGGCCTTGGGGAGGAGCTCGCGGACTTGGAAAATGCAGCCAAAGTAACCGGCGTTCCAGACAATGTGGCGCCACATGGTGCTCTCGAGGCCATTGTACATGGCCAGGACACCCTCGGCGGCGACGGTCTTGCGGATGACGTCGAGCATGCCAGTGTACTTACCGGCAGAGGCCTTGTCCTGTAGTCTAATCTTGACGAGCTCGAAGGGGACGACGACGAAGGCCTCGGTGGCACCGGCGCTGGCTCCGGTCAAGATGGAGAGGGACTGGTTCATCTTGGCGGCGCCGAATAGGTTGCGGTAGATCTTTCCCCACTCGTCGTTGGCAGCAAACTTGGTAGCACGTTTGGGGGCCTCCATGAGAATGGGAGCGGTGATACCGCGGTAGAGTGTCGCAAAGCTACGGTTTGTAAGCTTGGTGAATAGACTTGCAGAGGTTGAAGGAGTGGGTTGGCATACCCCTCGTTGCGGACAATCTTGCGGAAGCAGTCAACCATGCCATTGTAGTGGTCGGCACCTACGCCCTTGCCGGTTTGGAGTTGCCTGGACATTCGGGTCAGTCGGGGTTTGCGCGAGTGGCTGGCGATCGCGCAGAGCTTACACTCGTGTCTTGACGACGTCCAAAGGGTACCTATTGTGCGGGTTAGCATGGTGGCCACGTGAGCTTGTCGCAAGAGGATTCTTGACGTACATGACCAGAATCTAGAGGTACAGAAGGCGTAAGCATATCTCATCAACTCATTACCGCATGGCGTCGTTGTGTACTGACCTCCGAGACACCGGCAATGGCGCCTGGATGCAGTGGTCAGTATTTCGGGTCCGATATCGCGACGGTGGGGGGATTTCGGGCAACGAACCTGCGGCGAACTGGTACTGGAAAGGGAGGGGCTTGTCGGTCGACATCTTGACGGTAGACAGCTGAGAAGACGGTGGTTAGCTACCAGAAGAGAGTAATGGCGGATGCAATTGGGTACTCACCGAGGAGCAAAATCAATCGGGCGGGTTGAGGTGCGTAGGTGGGAGGGTTTGAGGAAGCGCTAGGAAACTGGAGTGAATTGAATGGAGCGGAAAATCGAACGAGGTACGGAGTCTTAGCTTTAGCGGGAACTGGGCTCTTATCGCCAGGACCCCGGGCGGAGGTCCCTTATCGGCCTCTTTTTTGTGTGCAACTCACACTGAAGCAGCAAGTTTCCAAGTTACCGAGCGGCGCCGGACTCCACCAGGGGCAGGCTCTTGCAGTGTGTTGCTCATCGTCCCTGACACTTGCGAGGCTCATGATTGGTGCGCTCTCTGGGGACCAGCGGGATTACGTATTGGCATCTCGCTTTGGTAGCATGGCGGCACTGCGGCAGCGTGGGCAAGTGCTGCCCAAAATGAAGATGAGATGGCCCGGGCCCTGGGGTAAAGAAAGATCCCCCCCAGGTCCCCAGAACGTCCCAAAAAGCCACGGCAGCTGTGTCATCCATGCCGAGATGCATCTGGCAATGCGACGGTGAGACAGATTTCATGTGCCGTCTATTGCCGAGATTCGGGCGACAATTCCGACTCAAATGCGACGTTCTTTACATACATAGATTTCATCACCTTACTTTTCACTGCTAGACTTGCCAGATATCGTCGGTTCGAAACTAACATTGAAGAAGATCGTTAACACTAGACACAAGAGTGAATCAACGCACCAAATTGCCTGCTCAAATAGACCAAACCGAACACTGCTACTTGGAGTATTGAATCTGAATAAGGCAAGTCATGGCGATGGAAATGGATGCTTTCGCAGAATAATACTCTCCATATGCTTGAGATTACCAAAAACTCAAGGTACAGGTGACCGGCATAGGTTGCCAATAACTGAGGGTAAGCTCATTGTGCCTTACCTAAGTGCTTCGGTATCTTCCTCAGTAGCACTACAAGGTAAGGAAGCAGATAGCATTCGGTAATATGCAAGCCTGCCGAATGAGGCACTCACTGGTAAGCGGCTCATCGTGTGCAGCCCGAATGCGATCCCGGCGTTTCGAGGGCAGTGAGGCCGCAGGCGGGGTGCAGCAGCTGGGGGGATAGCTCCCCACCTAATAACGGCCTTAGATAAGCACGCAACGTGCACCTCCGGTCTTGAGTGTAATTGTTTCGTTTCCATGACCAAGGAGAACTCGGGCAAGTATCCGCGGTATTTCGTTGCTTTGCGCGAGTGAAGACTGATTCTACGGATATATATAGTGAACATTCCTCCAACAGCTCTTTGAGTATACGCAACCTTCTCCGAGAGACCTCAATACGCAAATATGTGTACATTTTAAATGCGAACCTAGATTACCTACGGAGTAGACTTGGGTGATATGCCGAGGTAGGTAGACATACCTAGATCGAGGATGTTTGGAAAAGTGATAAACGCCTTGGGGGTTGCACGCTAATAAACTACTCTACATCAAGGTGCGAATTGAGTAAAACCAGGCTGACATGTACTCATCACCATGACTTGAGTTCTTCAGGATAACATACGTACGGAATATAGTAGAAAGATTTCCTGTGACTTGGTCAACGTGCCAGGACCAGCATGTCTCATCTCCCACGCAGTGCACCGCTTGCCCGCTAGCCACCCCACCTGAAGCGACAAACCAGAAGCTTGTCTGGCCTGCAACCAGAGCACAAGCTCCCAGCTTCAAGTCCGATTGGCTGCGCTATAACGCACCAAGGTGCCTGTCACCCACGCTGCATGCCCCCGTGGAGCCGGGAAATCGCGGCGCGGCGGGCTCTGACGCGCACAACTGGCGACTTGAGGTGAATACCTTCAATTTCCATCGCCAACCCCACCCCCGATTCACATCTCTTCGCGAGCAACGATTCTCCTACAACCATCGTCCTCATCCCATCTTTCGACTACCCCGAACTATCCAGGAATCAACACCAAAACTCGTAGACCCGCGACACCGTTCATCGAACCAGATACCCTCGCCACTCGACTACTACTACGCTATCGTAGCTGAGAGTCACAAGCTCAACGACCAAGTGGCAACTTCGATAAACCCCTCTCTCTCAACTCTAGGGCTTTGTAACCTCACAACACCCCCCGCGCACCGTTTGGCCATCTTCGAACCGTACCGATCCAATACCTACGATTCCGCTCTTCTCGCGCTCGGAATCGCACCTTTAAACAAGCCGTGATCCCAGAGACTCACAGCGAGGTGCTATCCAAGTGCTGGAAGGGTCCCTTGCTTACCATCTGCCCATGAGTCACCTACTTTGGAAATATTACTGGGAAAACGATGTCGACAGGTTTCGGCGTCTACTGGTCCCGGCCGGTCACACGGCGCAAACTGCAACAAGGAGCCCGGGCATAGGTGCTGGACCCCTTGGGAGCAGTCCCGGACAATACGGAACTTCTCCCCGGAACGTTAAACAACGCAAATCCTCCGCCGTCGGTTTCGGTCCAGCCGGATCAAAGAATGCCAACAATGCTCTCGGAAAGGCTGAGATCAACAGTCGTGATCATGCTGGCCTCACAGTACTTCTCCGCGCTGCTTCCTCGACAGATTCGGCCGCCATCCTCTTCGTCCAGGCCCTGCTCGACCACCCCTCGATCGATTTATACGTGCAAGACCCCGAGAGTGGCTGGAACGCTCTTCACCGAGCACTCTACTGTGGAAACATCGCTATTGCTCGTCTGTTGCTTGAACGCGAGCGTAAGATTCTCACGGAACAGACCCTCGGAGTCTCGGTCGCCAAGGCTGGGCAGTTGATCAAGACTAAAGACCGCGAGGGCAACAGTCCTTTTGATCTCTACAACTCAACCATTGCTGTTCGAACACTGGGAGG